TCAATGATTCTGTGATTCAGACTAGTGATTCTCTGTCTAGCTAGGTGACAGATTCATGGAGGCACTGCCCTGCCCCTACAGAGTAGGAGTCTACATGGGGTGCCAATGCTAGGGGAAGACTTTCTTTCTCTCTTGGTTCTGGGGCAAGGTCCTTGTCATTAATCTCCCCCATCCTAGGAAGTCCCAAGTACAGGGACACTGGACCATAGTGTGCTCTACCCCTAAGCCTTCCCTCTTGATCCCTCTAATTACTGCTCCCTTGTTTAATCTCTTTGATATTTCATAACTGATAGACTCAAGACACAACCTAATCTTTCAGATTGCATCCTGTCTTATAGGTTAGGATTTACAACACATATGGTAATTACAGTGAATCACAAAATGGAGGATAATTACATAATACCAAGAACCATGGCTTAGCCAAGTTAACATATATTTTGTGGGATAAACCCCAATCAATGATGAGTCCCTTTACCACTCTAACCCACCTATAACCCCAGCCTCTAATACTTGCCAGAACCAGGGCAAGAGTGCCTTTTTATTATATATATATATAAATTTCTATTTTATATCTATAGATAGATAGATAGATAGATATCAAGGTAGCAAGCTATTAAACAAGTACTTTATATTCCTTTTGACACATACGCCAGAGTAACAACATGTCAGGTCCCATGAACTTATGGGCGCCTTTGGAGTTGCACTCAAGATTGTGGCTGAGCGGAGTGCCTCGCCTTAAAACTTCAGCCTGTATCCAGTCCCTCTTCTCTCCCCATCCCTGGCTCTATCCACAGCATAAGAGAATCATGTGTAAGGATGTGGATACAAGCCTGCACACAGAACCTGTGTTTATCACTTGCCCACACCTTCCCTAGCAAACAATGCTAGAAGCACGGATTAGTTGACCATTGTTGCTGTAACAAATTACTGTAAACTCAGTGCCTCTAGTCTTTAATGCTTTCTCCCCCCACTATCATGACCCTCATTCGGCCTTACAAACCTCACTAGACCAGAGCATGTGCACTGGTACAGATAAGAGCTGGAAAAATAGGGAATCCAGGATAGATAACCCCCCCTTGGGACCAATATTGAGAGTAGCCATACCAGGAGGGTAAGGGGAAGATGGGGGGAGAAGGTGAGAAC